GTGGTGATAATAATAATAATAATAATAATGGTGATAATAATAATAATAATAATAATAATAATAATAATAATAATAATAATAATAATAATAATAATAATAATAATAATAATAATAATAATAATAATAATAATAATAATAATAATAATAATAATAATAATAATAATAATAATAATAATAATAATAATAATAATAATAATAATAATAATAATAATAATAATAATAATAATAATAATAATAATAATAATAATAATAATAATAATAATAATAATAATAATAATAATAATAATAATAATAATAATAATAATAATAATAATAATAATAATAATAATAATAATAATATAATAATAATAATAATAATAGTTGTAATAATAATAATATGTTGATGGATCAAGACATTAACATTACTATGATGTTGAGTGCGGTCAACACAGACTGAAAATTGATAATAGGCGGCGGATATATGCAAGTCAATTTTTTTATTAGTTCAAGACCTTCAACATAAAAATATTAATTTATCCTTAATGAAATTAAAAACCAAATAAAAAACACAAAACATTAAAAAAAAGAAAAAAAATCGGCGTTACAACGCCAATTTTTACTTGTAAAGTCGACGTTGTGTCTCCGATTTGGTAAACAAAAATAGGCATTATGACGCCGATGTTCGTGTACAAAATCGGTCTGGGTAAACCGATTTGGTATACCAACAAAGACACAAAAAAAAAAAAAATCAATTTCAATCTCAATTTTTTTTCCAAAATCGGCTAAAGCATTACAACCCAACAAAAAGGAAGAATAGATTAATGTTCATCCACGCATATTTATCAAGAATCGATGCTCGATTAATGTTTTCGAATTTTTTTTATTTATTATTATCGTATATTAATTGATAAGCATAAGTTGGGTTTTAGTTAATTTTGAAAAGTCAAGAGTCAAAAAAGAAAAGTGAAGAACTATTATAGCTGTTGCCTGTTGGACAGTGGATGCAACTATTCCGAGTGTTTGGCGCTTTCACATTTATCTTTCATTAATTGTTTGGCGCTTTCACATTTATTGTTTCTGTTAACGCGGTAGAGTTTCTTCCTAAGTAACTTGAGTTCTAAAACACTAAAAACAATCTTCTTCTCTCACATAAATCTCCAATCTCCCACTAATTCCAATGGATAAGAGTTGTTCCATACTTCCACTTCACTCAAATTAGTGTTAGATCTTAGAGAGAGAGAGAGAGAGAGAGAGAGATGGCTTATGGTGCTGTTGGTTCTCTTGAGCTGACAATTGAGCGTCTTTTAAATTCTTCTCATATTTCGATTGTTCAAAATTCATCCCCACGAATAATTAACCTTCTGTACGAGGAGATTCTTTCCTTAAAAGAAGCTCTCGGAGAATTCAATGCATGGAGGAGCACCATTAACATGAAGATGGTGAAAACTTTGGAGGCAGAAATCATACATGATGTATACAAATTCGAAGATGTAATCGACCTCCATCTCTCAAATCAGTTCCATTCACCGCAATCTGACGAAGAGACCGATCATCCTCCGTTAACGGTACACTCATTAGATGTGCAGGAAATAAAGCAAGATGTCGATTCCTTTATCGAAACGGTGAACATCATGAAGAGGGCCTACATCCACGAGTTACGCAACCCTTCACCCGAAGAAGAAGATGATGTTGTCCCGTCAAGAGTTGATTTTGATGGAAATGAGTCTAAGATGGTTGGTTTATCTGGTCTTTTTACGACAATCAAAGATCGGCTCAATTTACCAATATCTGAATGGATGATTGTGTCGCTCTATGCGATGGCTGGCATCGGTAAGACTACTCTTGCCAAGAAACTTTTTCAAGATCCATTCATTGTGAGTCGTTTCAGGCCACGTGTGTTCGTCACCATATGCCCGAAATATCGACTAGCGCACATCTTGGTAGATATTCTAATACAAGTGAATAATGGTGCTGGCTTTGATGAAATAGTGCCTATGGAAGAGGCACAATTATTAGTCGAGTTGAAAAGGATGGTGTTCAAAAGTTTAAGGTGTTTGAGATTCTTGATCGTGCTTGACGATGTATGGGATAGAGAGCTCTGTTATGAGTTGGCGAAGTTATTCCCAAATGACTATACAGGAAGTCGAATACTGCTGACAACAAGGCTATACGAAGTAGCCGCATGTGCTTACCCTCTGAATACTTTCAGAGTACCCTTCCTTGATAAGAAAGAAAGCTGGGATCTTCTTCGTACGAAGGTGTTTGGTGAACAAGAGTCGTTATCTTACAAACTTGAGAAAGCTGGAAAGAAGATTGCCGAGAACTGTGAAGGTCTTCCTCTTACAATCGTCACTGTTGCCAATATCCTGTCAGAAGCCAACAAAACAATAGAGTACTGGAACGAGGTAGCTACTGACAAACAAAATTCAGTATACAAGGATGCATATGATCAAATGTTGAAGGTACTATATCGAAGCTATGACTATTTACCCCAACATTTAAAAGCATGTTTTCTTTACATTGGAGCTTTCCCGCAAAATTATTGGGTATATGGATACCATTTGACCAACTTGTGGAATGCTGAAGGATTTCTTAACTCAAAATCAATGCATTACTCACACCCGCCCATGAGTTCCACGAATGGTACCCATCCTTATTTGTTTGAGCTTTCTTGCAAAAATGTTACTATGTACTACACAGACATAATCAAATATCAACTTCATTCATCCTTTTGGTACCTGTGTAACAAAGAAGCTGCCAAGAACAAGTTTTTCTATGCCTTTAATTGTCGTGCTGATGCTTTAATAGAAGAAGATGTAAACTACCAGCGACGATTGTGCACACGAAACAATGTTCTACTTGCCATCGAAGATGTGCGCAACTCAATCGCATCTGCTTCAACGGTACGCTCTCTTCTATGTATCGGTCCACATCATCATTATCCAATACCAGTGTGTTTGGAAAATTTAAGATTGCTCAAGGTATTGGAAACTCTTTCAATTAGATCCTATGAGTTCCCAATGGAAGTGTTGAAACTAGTTCAACTAAAATACCTAGGCCTCTCTTATGATGGAAACCTCCCTACTTCCATTTCCAAGCTGTGGAACCTTCAGTACTTGATTGTTAGTCGACATAGCGCCGAAAGATTTGTTGGGAATGTATCGGATATGCCTATTGAGATATGGAATATGAAGGAATTGAAGTGTGTTCAGACAGGAGGAAAAGACCTACCACATCCTTGCGAAGGATCTCACCTACCAAACCTCCTAGAACTGAAATGTGTCGGTCCTCAAAGTTGTACCAAAGATGTGTTTGAAAAAATCCCTAATCTAAAAGCGTTAGTAATTGGAATTCAACTGGCTCCCGATGCTACCGAGATCTTGACTTGCTTTGACCACATTTCACATCTCCATCAACTACAAGAACTAGGATGTTACATTATGAATCCTACATTGAAGACAGAGGTTGTTACCCCACTTGCTCCTCTTTCAGACTTCCCATCAAGTCTTACAAAGTTAACTTTGAGCGGCTTAGGATATCCGTGGGAAGAAATGAGAAAGATTTCTTCCTTGCCAAATCTTACTCATCTCGAACTGAAATTCTATGCCTTTCGAGGCCCGAAGTGGGAGGTTCGTGATAACGAATTCCAAAGTCTTGTAGATCTTGATATTCAGGACACTGATCTGGAACAATGGAAGTTTTTTGGAAACTATTGTTGCTTCCCTTCGATTGGGTTTCTTCACATCGCACATTGCTACAAGTTAAAAGAGATCCCTCTGACGTTTGGTACGTCTCTTGGAGACATTCAAGTAGTCGACTGCAACCCTATGGTTGTGGAGTGTGCAAACAAGTTAAAACGGTATTGGGACGACAAATATAGTCACGAAAATTCATTATTTGCTTATGTCCGTTCTTCATGGGATGGATGATGGGAGCATCGAGTCATCACTACCATATTGATTCTTCACAAGGTTAGTCATTCAATTTTAATTATATGTAACTGTGAATTATAAATATTATTACATTAATGCTTCGTTTGCTTTCTGTTGTCTTTTTGAAACATGTTTGTGTTCATATATCAGCTACATTATTGGATTACCTTTTCTTCTATGGTGGATTGGTCAATAACGAACTTTGACTTTTCGCACATACGCAGAATGTTATTGTTTCTACAAGACCATGGATCAAGAGGATAACAAAAGGGTGTACATTATTCTCAAGTGTGGTGGCGTAGCAGCATAGGGCCACGGGGGTCGTTGCCCCCCCATCCGCTTCTGATGAACTTGTTTTTTGTATATACAAAAATTGTTATTTTCTTGTTATGTACTGCTCAAGTGATCGAATCTCCTCCACTTCCACATGTAATGTTGTTTGAATCGGGAGTATGTCTTGTCTAGAGATCAACTGTAGGATTAATATTGAACATTAATTGCATAGACACGTAAAACCTTAGTACACCTTAAAGTTATCCCTGTTATTGCAGAAATCGGAATTCTTGCGCTTCTGCTGAATGAACCTGATACTTCCATGCTCATTGATCTGTTAAAATTTAGCTTTTTTTTCCAGGAATAGTTCATTTGAAAGTTGGAACATGAATTTCTGATTTCTGCCGGTTCCGATTATGAAAAGTTTCAATTCTCGAACAACAATTTTCTTCCCGATTTCCGAATTTTTCAATTTTTTTAATTAGAATTGGAATTATATATAAGATAATCTTTGGAATTTCGATTTCCGATTCGAGTTAATTTTTGAAATTAATTCCAAAATTGTAGTAAATAGTTGATCTATTCTTGAAGAGATATTCTGATGGATCTATATGGAAGAGTCGTTTTGGTGTTTCGTTTAGACTTAATCAATATGAGGAGGGTTTGGAATTTTGTGATATTTGAAAATCGATGCGCGGTGAAATTGGAATCTTTATAATTATTTTTACAATATTAGAACTTATCGTATTAGTAGTTATTAGTTTTATCGAAGTGGATATTCTTATTTTCGAAAATCCCAGAAACGTTTTTGAAAATTTTAATGCTCATGTGATTTTCAAAATTTCCATAATTTCTAACACTTTTGGAATCAAAAATGATTTCTATATTCTGAAAATTCTGGAATTGAAAGTTGAATTAGTTCTGTACTTCCAGAAAATAAAATGAAAACTTTACTAGAATGTTAATTTCGACCGCCTGTAGAAGTGACATTAATTGTGACAATAGATTTTTTTAAAAAAATTAGCAAATTAAGAAAGCAAAATAATGTAACTCATTGCTCTCGTTATACTAATTAATCAATGAGTTGTAAATCACTAAGGCCTCGTTTGCTTACCTATATTGGATTACATTGGATTATGTGAGATTGGATTAATATTTCATTGACTAATTAATTATTTAGTCACTGAGACGTTTGATTCGTTAGATTAAATTTTGTATTAAATTTGTTAAATTCTGGTATTAATTGTAAATTGTCTAAAAAGTCTTTTAATTAACAAAATTAAGATATTGTTTTAATGATAAAATTGTATTTTCCTCTTTTAATAACATTCTATTAAATTAATCGCATGGGAGGGGTGCTACTAATTTAACCAAATAGTAGTATTTAATTGCGGGCTTTAAGTATAGTAGCGGAATGAATACGAATCTCTTCAACCAAACATCTTACTAATACCTACTACTTAGTTTAATAGGAGGCCTAAAGATTTTTCCTTTTTTGGCACCCCCCCCCCCCCCCCCCCCCCCCCCCCTAAATATTCAAAAATTAGATAATCCCCCTTCAAAATGTTATTTTGGTTGCATTTTGCCCTAGAAGCCAATTTTTGGTGGGCATTGTGCAACAAAAATAACATTTCAAAAGGGCAATGTGCAAAGAGATAGCGTTTTTAAGGAGTAACGTGCAACAAAAATAACATATAAAAGGGCAAGTGCAACAAAAATACTCAATTACGGTGAATAATTCATCGGAATTTTGCAATAGCGGCAATGTACACCAATATAACATTTGAAAGGGGACATTGACTTTTTATATTTTGAGGGGGTAAAATGCAAAAATGGAAAATTTTAGGGGGTGATGTGCAATTTTCTCAACTATCTATATTAATCAAGGGTCTATTAGATATAACCCCCTTAAACATTCAAATAATAGGGGTAGACCCAAATTTAAATTTGCCATTTTGATAAAAGCCCAAACTTTTCGTAATTACATAATTACCCTCAATCAAATCCCACAAATCCCGTTACTTTACCTTTTTAAAATTAATAGACTGTCTCATATCTTTTAATAGACTATCCCATGTATCTAATTCGACTATGGGTTTAATTAATTGACTATTCGAAAAAATAATAATATATATGGAAACTGAATAATATGTTTGTTTGAAATACTAATCAATTAGGGTAATTTTCCTTATTATATGAAAACGATTAGGGTAAATAATAATATATATGAAAAAATAATAATATATATGGAAACTGAATAATATGTTTGTTATACTAATCAATTAGGGTAATTTTCCTTATATCATGTAATAGACTATCTTATTGATCTAATTCGACTATGGATCTCGTTAATAGACTATGGATCCCGTATTATTCAACCACATAGTATATTAATAATTTCAATATAGTACATTAATCTGCTATGATAGTATATTACGGTTATAATATTGATATGAAATTGTGTTACAAACAATATACCACTGAAATGACAAGAACATTGAGAACAACACCAACGTAAAGTATTCCACATAACCAATAAAATAGTACATTAATAATCTCATAATTTCAATCAAGGGTTTTGATAAAATACATAAAACACATCATAACACAATCAAACCAATATGTCGAGTTAAAAAGCTCTAGTACATTAATAATCTCATAATAGTATAATAAATTGATAATGGTAGTATCATACGGTATTCATAATAGTATACTACGGTATTACAACGGTTTAACACTTAACCGAAGTTACCGAGCCATTACATCGTAAACACCTCTTTATAGCAATCAACCCACCAAAACTCAACAAAATCCGTACGAAATT